TCTAAATTGCCTTTTTAATGAAACAGGTTATGCCCACTAAGGTTTTAAATTTATGAGTTCAGTTTTTGTAATATAATTAGTTCACTTACAAGGTGTAGTTCCATCGATCAATACTAAACCCATATTTTTGGCCAAAACTGGCAACCCATTCCTATGACTCAAATATAAAAATACTGATAACAATGTTATAATATATTACTGGATAATATCATGGTTCAATTTTATCCTTGGTTCAAATTTTTTCCTTTTTTGGGGGGCAGAGTAAAGTATGAAGAAACAAAGGAAAATAAAATTGGAACCACAACCACAACCACAACTTATATACATTTGCTTCTTTGTATTAACAATTTAAAATCAGTGATAAAGGTCAACACATTTAAATTGTTTTTAATGCAAAGATGTGTAAGATTTGTTGCCCAATAAACCTTTCATTATCATCATTATTATTTGACATTAAGTCAACAGTAACTTGTAAGTGTGGTCAATATTATAGGTATAAGTAGGTATATACATGTGGTTTACCTAGGAGGTGGCACTCCACCAATCACAAGCACATCTGGATCAACAACCCTTGCAAATGGTTTTGGATGCTGATATTTTTGTGTTGGTAGGATTCCCTCTACATCATCACTAGTTCCTTGCCCAGTTAAAAACCGCGCAATGTGGTACACTTTAGCTGTTGATTCTTCTTCAAACTCAAACACGATTGGCTGTTTGAAATCTCCAAGGCTGCTAGGTTTGAAGAGCGCTTGTATTGTGTATGCTTTTCCTGCAGGAAGTCTGATAACCTTGTGTTTTGGCCCACTCATGGTAACATTGTGCTTATCAGAAAGCATGAAGTCTCCAACAGAATCCAGGGCAGCAAATCGTTTAAGTTTAACCGTACTTGAGCCTGCATTGTTCACCATGATTTCGGTGATTTTTGCACTTTCTGTTAAATTCATTTTTCCAAAGTCAATGTGTCCATGTTCCCTATCTAAATCAGAGCAAATTCGAATTCCATTCTTGTCTTGAATTAGAGACTCTCTGTAACACAAAATCAAACAAGTTGTCATTTGTGGTCAGTCAAATCTGTTCTTACCTGGCAACACCTCATTTAGAAAGAACATACCTGAAGACACCAAACTTAATAAAATACAGTGCATACTTCTCCTATAATACAGACAACTCTGTAATGTGGATGTTATGGCTTTATTTCATCCTATTCCTATTCATCCTTTTCATCCCATTTATTTGATCTTCCTTGTTTTGGGGCATGGTATTTGTGTGATAGGTTTAAAACAAAGGAGAACAGAATTTAAATCAAGAACAAAATTGAGCCACAACAATAATAATAAATATTGTATTACTTCTATGACAATCAGACAACTGGTAATGTTCAAACCAAATGCAGACACACCAGCCACATGTCCATATAATTATTATATGGAGAGGTTGCTGTTGTGTCCGTTTGGTTTTAAACATTGACAGAGGTTTGATTGTTATGGAGTTAATACATAATTATTTGATCTTCATTATTTTTCTCATAAAAAATAAAGAAAAAAGGAAAATAATTTATTAGCTGTTTTCTCCCCCTACTTGTGATCAAGAAATATCTTCTTCAGTTCGTATGCTGAGTCATCAACTTCCTCAAAATTCTCAGTTTCTGCTTCATCAACATCTTTTTCATTCTCTCCTTTTTCTTTTAATGCATTCCTTTGCTTCCGATGAACAAAGGACTGATCCACAGCCAACACCAACCGACGGCCTTTGCGTTCAAAGTACAATAAGTTATCTGAACCATCCTTGCATTTCACGAGCTTTTTCATCCTTTTCAGTTGGAATAAAATGGTGGAAAATGGGACTGAGGGGCACGAGCGATCAAGGGTTTTCTTGAATTGTTCATAATAAACCCCTCTGAGCTCCATTTTGGTTGATGGCCTGAGACGATGTGAGGACAGGTATGTCCAGAACTGTTTGCTGACATTCTTCTTGTATTCATTGTTAGGTGAAGGCATTGTATTTGCCTCTGTTGTAAGAGTAAAAATACAGACATCATCGTCATCATCATTGTTAAGCTGCATGGATTCAAAGATCTGGTGTGTGGTTGCGAGGCGAAGGGGGGGGGGGGGGGGGG